TCTTTTCTGTGAAGAAATTTCACAAGATATATGGACGTCAGTTCACATTATTAACTGACCATAACCCATTACTAGCCATTTTTGGGTTAAAGAAAGGAATCCCTGTTCATATAGCTAACCGGATCTACCGATGGCAACCACACTTCTGGGTTACGACTTCAAGATCAAGTATCAGTCTATTACCGCCTTCGAGCAAGCTGACGCATTGTCAAGATTAATAGGCTCCCAAATAAAAACCCCAGAGGAGACTCTTGTAGCAAATATAAAAGCTGAGGAAGAAGTTCGTCGCGTATCGGATGATGCAATCAATGGACTCCCAGTAACCTTTGAAATTATCAAGAAGATCACTGAAAGTGATAAGGCATTGAGCACAGTTAAAAGCTATCTCTCGACAAAATGGCCAAACAATCGCCTTGACGGAGAACTTTTACAATATTTTTGTCGACGGTACTCACTAATTGTTGTTGACTCGTGTATTATGTTCAGTGATTGATTTTTTATTCCGGAGTTATTACGTCACAAGGTTCTCAAGCAGTTTCACAATGGCCATCCTGGAATCAATAAAATGAAATCGAAAATCACCGACGTAGATGATCCATGTCGAAATGATTGGAGGCCTACTCGAGTTAGACGTGAATGATGTGACAAACTAGCTAATGTCGAAGTCACACCTTATGGTCAGCACCTTACGTGGACTACCCCATCGACGTATCAAGGTACCATAGATGCTTTGAAGACTGTACAACACAGAGAGCGTTATTACAGAAATATATTAGTTAAAGTAGACACAAGCGAAAGTAAGACCACTGTCGCATGGGCCAGTCCATTGTATACGATTAACCGATGCGCGTTGGTTATCCTTGACCTTCAGGAGATCGATGATTTGCTCGATATTCAATGACCCAACTGCCGGATGATTTGACTAGGGCTTGGTGACATATCGCTGGCCCTACAAAATCGTTGGCACGCATTTATGCTTATTGGCCGTCAATGGACAAAGATATCGAGAATAAATGCCTTAACTGTCCATCATGCATTCAAGCCGCTAAAAATCCTTTGAAATGTAAACCTCAATATTGGCCTACGCCTGCAGGACCCTGTGTAGGACTTCACGCAGATTTTGCTGGTTCAATCCAAGGAAAAATGTTTCTAATTATCGTAGATGCATTTACTTAATGGCCGGAAGTATATACCATGCTGAACTGTACAACATCAGAAACAATCCACAAGTTGTCTACCCTGTTTGGCTGTTTCGGAGTACCAGAGACCTTAGTAACGGATGACGGCTCGCGACTCGCCGCAGAATCGTTTAAGCATTTCTGTAGAGCAAACGGAATAATTCTTCTCCGTTCTCCACCCTATCATCCGAAATCAAACGGACAAGCAGAACGCTTTGTGGACACGTTTAAACGAGCATTACTTCTCTCTGATGTTCAGGTCACTGTGTAGTTCTAGTTGCGGGTTTCCAGAATAGCTTAGGAAACGAATATAGCGTTCTATTTGCAAGACGTATGAATTTTTTTTTGATAACCTGTTCTAACTAACGTTCTCATAGAAGTTAATTCTGGGAGGATAGGGAGGAATGTGATTATGATAGGTTGTTTTGCTCATAACCGTTTTCACTCGAATAAAACACTGATACGTTTCTGGAATAATTTAAACTGAATAGAACACTCAACCAAAACAGAACACAATGAAGCTCGTATACGATTGCGCGAAGCATTTTTTGCTGTTCAAAAGACCATGTTAGGAAACTCACTTCCTATGGTGTCGACAGGTTCAAAAAAAGCTCGATGAGTTCTTTGGCTCAAAAATCATTGATCTAGATCACTGTCGACACTACTGCTCCACCAAAGCCAGACTGAAATAGCTGATAACTCAAAAGAGAAAAATCATATCTTTGATTGCCGGAAAACGAGCACAATAACCGATCTGATAACCATGATCATGACAAGGAATAAATACTGCGCCGTAGACCCGGTTATGTCATAAAACCGTTTCCTTCCTAGCTGCGCAAACTGCAATCTGTGTTTATCCACAAACAGGGGACTGGTTTGAGAAATACAACCAAAGGTAAATCTGCATTTCAAGTGGCTTTCGGCCTATTTTTTCGGCCCATAAACTAACGTATTTTTATTAATTCTCGCTTACAACTTTATTATTGTGCCCTTCTCCCTCAAACTGTAACGTTCGACCGCTCAGTCCATTCAGTAGTATAAACAGCAGTAGAGTTTCATCAAGTTTTTAGGCGGTAGAATTTTCTTCAACCCATAACAGTATATAGGCAAAAAGACGTCATAATGGATGTATCAGATTTTTATTACATAATCATAGGATTGTCGGGAGAGGAGGTCTTTATTTTAAAGCACACAAATTTTGTGATATCTAACAAAGGACGATGGAAAATATCTTGCTTGCACGGAACAAAGAAGTAAACAAACACTTAGCTATGGTGTTCTATTGTAAACAGGAGGTGCTCAGCTAACTCTCAACCACTGAAATTAAGCAATTACGTCAGTTTTATTCCTTGAATCAACTTTCGCGGAAATATCAGTTTTATCAGCTCATGAAACAATAACAAGACATGTCACTCCTTTAGTAAAATGATGTTGCCTGATGGAGGACCGCTGTGTTTCGTCCGGTGTCTGACCTTGACACAACCATAAATGACGAATTCTGTTCCACGAATGTCTAGTGCTCCAATGATATACCCTATTGTTTTAGTGCTTCCTTCTTCCTGTAGAACTTACTTTCTCGCTACAAAGTCTCACGTCAGGCCTTTTCAAAAAGTCTGAAAATAAGTATAGAGATGGTCAGTAAAGCGTGTTACGAAGCTAAGAAACAGGCTTTCCATAGACCGAAATTAAAGAGGTGACTTGACAATCACGTGGCCATTTGTTAATTACCATCTCCTGGTTGAACCAGCAGTGTCTAATGCACACTTATCCACTGTTATGTGTAATTATGTTATATAATATAATATATATGTCGTTTATTATAATCTCTTCCTGTTTTATTTTTACGCATCAGTCTCCACATAGACTCTATCTACTAAATTATTTGTTTATTTATTCCTCGAGGTTGTTACTTTTCTGAGTGGCTAGAATACTGCCCACTGGAAACTTTTGAAGACCTGGATCCCTTCTGAAAAACTAGAAGCAAATATAAAGTAATCATTATGCTTATACAGGCCAATCACAAGGATATCAGATCTAATGCTATGCAAATTTTTTCATTCTTCAGTTTCTGAAACTCACACCTCTTCGGAAGTTGAAATTCACTCTGGCTGTCTAGAAGCAGATCTCAATGAACAAATTGCCAACCGACTGAAACAGACATTGAAAATTGAAGTTGGATTTTTATGTGTCTGCTCTACTTAAACTTTTTTGAAGGTCAGTTTCTGACACATGGAAATTCGATGATTCTATTTCTAAGCGGATGTTGCTTTTGTTTATGGGGATGTTATTATAATTTACTCTGCAACATTAGAAAATTTTGGAGTTAAGTGATTCACTATAGATTCGTGACCTAATGCATAAATGCACACCTTCAGGTGAGCCTATGCTAAAAGGAAGCAGTTATCCAATGCCTCATGGATTTCAAAGGTTTTATGACTAAAATCATTCTTTGGTGTATGACTTCGAAGCTCAACAATTTCCCAAACCTATAGATAGTTTAATATAAATGATCACAATGGCAATTATGTTAATTGTCGTTTGGATACCGTTATTTTATTCGAAATTTCGACGTTTCACCAACCTGCCACATGTCTCAATTTCTATCTAAAGTAAGGCGAAAGATATGAGTTAATTAAGGGAATTAAAGCAAACATTCACGGGTCTCATAGGATCTCCATTCTGGCTGTTAAACCTCATTCGTTTCCAAAGCCATGCTGTCCATTTATTTATTTGAACACAGATATTGGTACAAGGAGGCACCGAATACATATGCACTAAACGTCATTCGATTTGTGTGAGGATCGGGATACTGCTGTACATACTAAAAATATATGATATATTGGAGTGTTGTGTACAGGGGAATCAAACGATTTTGGAGAACGATAGGTGCATTACATGAAATTGTGCTTAAATAAAGATTTAGGAGGAAATAAGAATTGGATTTATATCGGTTACTGTGATCCACATTGGATCATAATGTTTTAAACCATTTATCACGGTTGTCTCCGACCTTTATTTAAATGCATAAAAATTTGTATAGTGGGGCACCAAAACATTTATGCCTTAAACAAACTAATGAATTTGTGTATGGGCTAGAATACTGTCCGGGTGCTCAAGCTAAGTCGAGTTTTTTTGAACGGCCACTCACATGCAAATAATTATCGAAAAATATCTGTGATGGAATAACTAAAGTTTGTGTATCGTTGCGCTTTCATAGACGACAGACCACACTTACAGGAATGCAGAGATTCTTTGCATCGTGCCCAATATTTGATCATTCAGACTTGTGCACCGAGATACAATTGATGCAATTTGATGGAACCCAATCGAATCCTTTATGGTCTTACCAGACTTTCATACATGCTCTCATGGATTGAAGTCGTAATATATTTGGTATTTAAATGCATTTAGTAAATTAAAGCCTGCTTCGGTTCGGGCACCCTAGCAGTATCTCAGCCCTTACACAAATCGAATGATTTATGTGGCGTATATCTATTTGGTGTCTCTTTGTACCAATGTTTGTGTTTAAGGAAAATAAATAAAATCAACATTGGCTGGCATTATTACTTATGTTCTCAGTTTATTTGATGCCAGCGTCAGAAAACAGATTTTTTATTCCTGTGAGTATTAGCACTAGCTAGAAACAAGTTTACTTCATGAAGTTGTTACTATAAACAATCATTATTATCTTTTTGCTGCTCTGAAATTCAAGTTTTGTATACTTCATAGTTCATTTGGATTATAAACCTAACCACTGAAGTTATTACTTCTGAAGACTTTCATTTACGTTTTTACTTTTCATTGGATTTTTAAAAGTTAGGGATGCCGTATGCCAATCAACCTATCGTCACATTAACAAGCTTTAACAATGAAAACATAAAGTTTATACTGGAAGAGACTGATTTAAGTGTAGCCAATGCTATTCGGCGTGTTTGTATCGCTGAAGTCCCTACTCTTGCAATAGATTGGGTACAGATTGAAGACAATAATACAATGTTAAATGATGAATTCATTGCTCAACGTGTTGGGTTAATTCCACTGACATGTGATAATGTAGTTGATAAAATGACGTATTTCCGAGAATGTCCTTGCCGCGAATTCTGTGAACAATGTTCCGTTGAACTTACATTGGATGTATGTTGTACTACGGATGCACCAAGACATGTTACAGGAGCAGATCTCATCAGCAGTAACCGTGATGTACAACCTGTACCATCAAGAGATGCTGATGACTCGTCATACGTCGGTCAGGTTAGCGCATATTTTCTTGATATATGTCATGTGTAATTTGATATGGTGTGTGCTATCTTTCAAGATTTTGGTTTATCAGAACTAAATTAGGATTTATTTGTCCATTTTATTTACTTACATCCAAAGTTTGTAAACTGTATATAATTCTGTTGAAACGTGGATTTCTAGTTATTTCACTCTATTAACGTACTTTCTCTGTGTGATTTTCAGGAATCCATACTAATTGTTAAAATGCGCAAGGGGCAACGCCTGAAATTAAGAGCGATTGCAAAAAAAGGTTTTGGTAAAGAGCATGCAAAATGGAATCCAACTGCTGGTGTAGGGTTTGAATACGACCCAGATAATGCCTTAAGACATACATTTTTACATAAACCCGAAGAATGGCCACGTTCGGAATATTCAACTTTACCGGAAAATGAACATCAGGCACCCTATGATCCAACTGGAAAGGTAAGATACTTTCTCAAGATTTAATGCCTTAATTATTTGCATGTATAACATTCACACAATGTACTAATGAATAGTCTAAGGCTTTCGATATCATCCATTGGAATACTTGTTCAAACCTACTTCAACCTGTATAATTTATGTAAGGAGCATGAATTAAGCCTAACAGTCAAGTTTTGGTTTCATTAGGGAATGAATAACCTATAAAATTGATACCACCTATCGCTCATTGGTGAGATAAAAGTTTGTCTCGTTTATCTTTTCATACGGTACTTAGTATATAATGTGACTGGTTTTGAGTGGTTTGTTCCTAGAACACTATTTACTAAGAACGTCCTTCTTGCAGGTTCCGTTTTTTATTTGCAACTGCTGTCCTAGCTTATTAACTTCAACTGGACTTAGCTGTGTCGGAACAATAAATCATTTGTTAAAGATGATACCTCAAGATATGTTTTGGCGACACCTGAACTCCAAATTAGTCTAGTTGTGGCACCCAGAACATTCTTTCGTTAATCATACAACAACATATTCTATGGTGTAACAGACGATCATCTTTAACTTGAATTAGTTAACAGAAACGTATTTTGAAAATGTTTCGTTATCACGAATTGCAATTTAACAATTATCTTTACATACGTTTGTACAGAACCAAGGCTATCTAGTACGTCGTTCATTAAATATTAGTAGGTCTGTGTTACGTTCCCCAGATAGACAGTTATGTATGAGTTCAAAACACTCTGTTTCAAGTTTTTCTTAGGAGATGCAGTTGTGTCACTTAAGAAAGCCATTAAGTAGATGTAAATAAAGAGTAGAAGTCCTTTGTGATTTTCATCTCAAGGTGCTTATGTTTACCAGTTGGATTGCAACCGTATTTAAGGAGCATGTGTAACGTAAATGTCTGTTTATTTATTTTAACACAGATATTGGTACAAGGAGGCACCAAATACATATGCGCCACACAAATCTCATTCGATATGTGTGAGGGCTGTGATGCTGCCTGGGTGCCCAAACCGAGGCAGGTGGTTTTCGTAGGGGGCCACTCCCCGAGCCTTCGACCTGAAGGTCTGGTCCACAAGGCCGTGGAGCATCGTGAGGAGATGCAATCCCATGGTAGCCGGTGACCAACGATTGGTTCATACGCCATTTGTTCCTTCAGGATACTGGAGCCCATGTGCACCATTGGTTTGGAATCCGGTTAAAGCGCCGGACATTCGCTTTTCGTCCTCTCATTTTCGTAAACAACACCCATGGTGCGAGAAGGCAGTGAGTAGGACTTCCCTGGCGGAGACTATATACGCGTGGCCATGTGAGAGGATTTCGAGAGGGAGAGCGGGCTCTCCCCACTCTCGGCCGTACCAGGGCATTTGGGGGCACGTGAATGTCTACAGGTTATTAAATGACCGGATGATCTTTAACTGAAACATATGACCGGATTTTCTTCTATTCATGACTTGATGACATGCTTTCTAAAATGAAGTATATTCAATGGCTGTAATGTGGTCCATAAAATTACTGGTTAAAAGTAATTCTCGTTGGATGTTTGAGTTCCGAGTACTTGTTAAGACCGATTCAAAATATGTTCGAAATAATTGGGACACGTGTTATTTACCCTCAATCATCGGTCACATCAATGTGCTATGATGATATAATAGCAGTGGGTTGGGAAAGATTATGGATGACCAGATCACAATTTGGTACTGGACTACAGTCGCACTGGCTGTTGACCCGAGTAATGTTGGGAGATGTAAAGTTCTTCGTCAGAGTACAGAAGCTTAAAAGGGTCTGACTTGAAATGAGATATATTTATGCAATTTTTGACTTCTTTTCAGCATAATACCGTTTTTCCGATTTAAGGCACAATACCTTGTATTGATACACACTTTCTCAGACTTAGAAACCTTTCTGTATCCTCAAAATTATTGTTTTAAAAATCGTTTAGTTACGAGTTATCGAGCCCCAGCAAACAGTAACATCCACTATTACTTAATCATTTGGGTACTTATAATAAATCACGTATTCATAACCACTCCAGCTGTATTGTTATAATATATTAAAAATTAACAAAGAAATGTGTTTTCGATTAGTTTAAATCTCTAGAAATTGTTTCCATCACTTTTTATGTCATTATTGTGCTTAATAGCATATCAATAATCGTTTTGGGCGCCCAAATTTCTACGTTCACGGCATTCGTCATCATAAATGCGGCTAAAGACACCTGAACACCGACTACCACGATGCGCAATGTTGACTAGTGTTAGAAACAGTTAGAAGAAAGTTAGGGGCGGCCAAACCTAAACGTGGCATCAGTGCTTGAAGTCACTAACTTCTAATCTGAGCCATATTGATAGATGCAGACTACTTGGTTGGAGTCCACGTGACTATCGTAACCAATGGTTGGGACTCTGAGTGATATGGCTCAGAATCGATCACAGTGGCGTCGGTGTATACACTCTTTGTCTTCCCTTACACTATGGAATTAAAGTCGCTTCACATCTTTCTTTCTACGAACTAATTCTTTCTTCTTGTACTATACTTTTATATGCAATTTTTCTTCTATATATATTACCCCCATTGAAGTAACTACATCTATGAATCCGGTGTTCATGTTGTTGTGCTAATGAGGTGTGGCAACTTGGAGCGATGCACATATGTTGTGACTGACTGACTGAAAGATATATGTCTCCTATTTGGCTTGTTAGAATTTCAGTGAGACAATCGTTGCTGTAATTTCAAGGATATTATAAATACATCCATATTCAATAATTGCTCATTTATCTCGATAGTATTTAATTTTTTAAGCATTTTGAATAGGATTTGTTTTTTTTAAGACTGTCAGTAAGACAAGAAAGGATTATCTGTGTTTGTAGTTCAATTTACTGAAGATAATAATAGTTCATCACCATACAGTTACTTATCGTAATGTCGTTCGAAATTTTTGTAGTTTAATTGCACTTTAATTGGTCCCCAAATGCCTTGGTACGGCCGAGAGTGGGGAGAGTCCGCTCTCCCTCTCGAAATCCTCTCACATGGCCACGCGTATATAGTCTCCGCCAGGGAAGTCCTACTCACTGCCTTCTCGCACCATGGGTGTTGTTTACGAAAATGAGAGGACGAAAAGCGAATGTCCGGCGCTTTAACCGGATTCCAAACCAATGGTGCACATGGGCTCCAGTATCCTGAAGGAACAAATGGCGTATGAACCAATCGTTGGTCACCGGCTACCATGGGATTGCATCTCCTCACGATGCTCCACGGCCTTGTGGACCAGACCTTCAGGTCGAAGGCTCAGGGAGTGGCCCCCTACGAAAACCACTTGCCTCGGTTTGGGCACCCAGGCAGTATCACAGCCCTCACACATATCGAATGAGATTTGTGTGGCGCATATGTATTTGGTGCCTCCTTGTACCAATATCTGTGTTTCCTCGCACTTTAATTGCCCCCAAATGCTGTGGTACGGCTGAGAGTGCGGAGAGTCAGCTCTCCCTCTCCAAATGCTCTCACATGGCCACGTGCTTGCAACCACTGCCACAGAAGTTCTACTCACTGCCTTCTCGCAGCAGCGGTGTTTTTTTACGAAATTGAGAGGACCAAAAGCGAATGTCCGGCTCTTTAACCGGTTCGGTGGATTCACCTAGAAGAGTTGGAAAACCCTGATTCAAAACCAATGATGCACATGAGCTGACTCCAGGGTCCTGAGAGAACAAATGGCGTATGAACCTATTGTTAGTCACCGACTACCATGGGACTGCATCTGCTTACGTCGCTCCACTACCTTGTGGATTAGACCTTTAGGTCAAAGGCTCAGGGTTTGGCCTCTAAGTAAACCACCTGCTTTGGTTTGGGCACCCGAGAAGTATCCCAACACTCAAATGATTTGTATAATGCATATCTATTTGATGCCTCATTGTACCAATGTTTTATTTGTTTAAATAAATGAGTTTAGTTTCAGTTTTATTACAAATATAGTGAATCATGTTTTTTCCACGTATACTACCACTAAAGTAAATCCCCATCTTTTTTTCTCTTCTTCTTCTTTGAAAATCAACTGTTTTTTTTGTTTAGCCGAATCGTTTCTATTTCAATATTGAAACTTGTGGATCATTACAACCAAGAGCAATTATATTCTCTGGTTTAACTGTATTAAAAAGAAAATTACAAAATCTTTTAGATAATTTAACACAGGAAGGTCTTTAAAAATTATTTTAATTAAGAAATTTTTGTAAATATTTAATATTAAAACTTTATATGTAAATGATGTTCAAGTTTCGTTGTTATTTGTCTATTACTTACTTACGCCTGTTACTCCTCACGAAGGAACATAGGCCGCTTACCAGCATTCTCCAACCAACCTTGTCCTAGGCAATCCTTTTCAGCTCCTTCCAGTTGTTATTCATCTTTTTCATATCTGATTCTATTTCCCGGCGTAATGTGTTATTTGGCCTTCCACTTTTCCGCTTCCTTTCAGGATTCCAAGTTAGGGTTTGTCTCGTGATGCAGTTTGATGACCTGCGTAATGTATGTCCTATCCATTTCCATCGTCTTTTCCGAATTTCCTCTTCAGCTGGAAGCTGGTTTATTCTCTACCACAGAAGACTGTTGCTGATGGCATCCGACCAATGGATGTTGAGTATCTTGCGTAGACAATCATTTATAAATACTTGTACCTTCTTGATAGTGGTTGTTGTAGTTTCAGCTCCGTACAGTTGAACTGCCTTGACGTTCGTACTGAAGATTCTGACTTTGATATTGGTTGTTAGTTGTTTTGAGTTCCATATGTTCTTCAATTGTAGGAATGCGGCCCTTGCTTTGCCAATCCTCGCCTTTACGTCTGCATCTGAACCTCCTTGTTCATCGAGAAGGAGGATTCTACATCTTCCACTGTTTCTCCATTAAGAGTGATTGGACTGCTGTTGTCCATTTTGAATTTGAGGACCTTGGTTTTCCCGTTTTGTATGTTGAGGCCTACTGATGCAGAGACTGCTGCTACACTGGCTATCTTTATCTGCATTTGTTCGTGTGTATGAGATAGGAGGGCTAGGTATTTCTCTATTAATTACTAAGTTACAAGTTCAAACCCGATTCTATTTAATTGGGCCTTTAAATGGTTAGTATTTTTTTGTTACTAATGTAAGTAATATCTCCTGATTGCTGAATTCTATTATAGTGGCTTAGTTTTGTTGATCAATCAATCACCTTGTTAACCATTATTTTACAAATCTCAACGGTGTTCGAAAGGCAAGAAGAAGCGGTGACTACATTTTATTGGCGGATAACACGATAACAAAGTTACAAGTATATCGAGCGAATTCGGAGCAGAGAGGCTAATATGGTGTGGGCGAACAAATACAAAGGTGAACTTATAGCGAAATAGAATCAATGCCCAGCAAATGTTATTAATAGGATTCGAGCATGTATGATAAATACATGGGAAAGAGAATGATTTATCGAGCGATATGTAAGGGATCAACATTTAAAGTAGGCTGTCACATGTGACCAAGTATACACGTTTATGCAGATATGATGGTAATGATAAAAATACAAAGAAATAGACGAATTGCTACTGTCCGACTAAAGTTGTCTGTTAAATAAGCTTAATAAAAGGGCTTGACATAAATCAAACCTAATTCAAATAAACCATAGGTGTTTTGCTATGTATTAACTATCCCAGTAAACAAAGATATATACAAAAAGGTCGTTGTGTTTGCAAAATAAATAATAAACTGAATAGAATAATTATAATTGTTAGAAGATATCGGTTTACACAGAATTGAGATAAAGCTACTGTGTATACTAACATTAGTGATGTATATCTGAGTTTGCGCACGTCCATGAATCCAAATAAGATAATGATAAAGGATAGGGAAGGATATGGTATCGTTTTTCAAAGATTACATACAGGCTTAAAGGTATACACATAGTATGTCGAGTTTTATAATACATAACATAAGCTTAATAATGCGTGCGTACATAATGAAGAGGAAGAAGAATAATTTATATTCAAAATAGTGAAAAATTGGTAATTGAAAACTGTGGCTATATACAGATGCGGCCATTTGACTCTTTGGCCGTATTTCGTCGTTATTGTAATCTCTTCATTTGCGTCGTTGATGTTTGAAACTCATGTTTCTGTGATGCAACTGTCTTTGAAGGATTTGTGCTTTTCGGTTGATGATCATTTTTGATGAAAGCTGGTTTAACTCGATTGATGTCAATTGCATCTGTCTTTCTAGCTATTTCTACAGTAACTGTTTTATCTGTACTCTTAATCACTTTAAACGGACCGTCATAATTCGGCTTCAAAGGTGGTTTTACATTATCTGGGAAGTGTCGTTAAACCGTTCATGTGCTACTTTAGGCGCTGTACGTTGTTGTCCACATCAGTAGGAACACTTACCTGAAGCAAAAGATTCTTCAGGTAAACGTAGAGTACCTCCATATACCAGCTCTGCTAGACAACATCCAATATCCCGTTTAATTGTTCTTAAACCCAACATGACTAGGGGAAGTTTATTGGCCCAATCGTTGTTGACAATGACAGTTATAAGAAACGCTTTCGATTGCCTATTTAGACGTTCAGCCATTCCCTTTGCCATCGGATGGTAAGATGTCGTGCGAATAAGTTTAATTCGGAGGAATTCTGTAGGAGAGGAAACTTTCAAATTGAGCTCTTCTCTCAGTTGTGATAATCGCTGGCTAAAGACTCGGCTGAGGTGTCCTGCTATAGGCAGTTGCGTGAATCTATCGATGCATGTAAGATTATATCTGTAGCCATTCGAAATCGGCAGTGATCCCACGATATCGATGTGTATATGTTTGAATCTAGTGTCTAGGGGAGAGAGAAACCCACTTCAGAACTAGTATGACGATGTACTCTGACTTTTTGAAAATTCATGCATACTTGTGTCCCAACTCACGTTTGTCCATATGAAGCGTTCTCTGATCAGCTTCACGGTGGCGTTTATTCTCGGATGCGATATATTGTGCATAATTTCGGGTACGTTTTGTAACAGTGGTTTCGGGATGAACAGTTGCGGACAGTTGTTGACGTATTACATGTTACTTTTACACTACCGAGTTGAACATTTTCAAATATTAATGATGTTGTATCGTCGGATTTTAGCTTGCTTAATTCAATGGCTTAGCACAGGAACAAGGTCATATAAGTCGGTATGCTGATTGCCAATTTTATCACCTAATAATTGATAGGGGTAAAAACCATAACCAGTTGGATGGTTTTCATTTAGAAGAGTTATGACGTATCATGATGAAAGCTGAGTTCCTTCGGAAGTCACTAGGCTGATAGTTCTTCTGAACGAATAAATTCGAAAATGAAATAATCTATCTGTAAATAAATCTTTCCTATGAAAAATGGAGTAAATATCAGATATTCGTTACTTTCATAGTACTACTACTACTACTTCTGTGGTGTGTGCTCGTTATATTGACATAAGTAGTATATAATTCGGTTGTCCTCACCACTACACCACAACAACGACTACTACTACAGTATAAATTATTAACTTCTACCATTATTCGGTGCTTAAACATGTATTAGAAACAGGGATTTGAAGAAGCCAATGAAGTTTCAGATCTGATAATCGATTTATTGACCAAATGTTTACTCTTTTAATCAATAAATTATTGGTTGAAAATTGATTGCTCCTTAAAATAATCCACTGATCAATAATAGATATATTTTTTATCAGTTTCGTGCGCGAGCGCTTAACCACTAGACCACTTTGCCGGCATTCAACGGTGTTAATGTCTAACTTCAACTTATCCACGAAGTTGCGCCACCGTCATATGCTCACTAGTGAAGATCTCCAAGAGATATTTCCTGGAGTTCTAGTGAGAAGCCATGACAAGTGGAGTTCAACCAGATCTGTTGTGAGATAGTAAGTCCCTGAAGACAATGGTGCAACTTCGTGGATTAGTTGAAGTTAGATATTAACACCGTTGGATACCGGCTCAGTCGTCTAGTGGTTAAACGTTTGTGCGCGAGTCCGAAGGTCCTAGGTTTGAATCTCGTGAGGCGGGATCGTTGATGCGCACTGCTGATAAGGCCCATATTATGATGGAACGGCCATCCAGGTTTTCCATAGTGATCTGGCTTCAATTGACTCATGAATTCAATTATTAAAAATGACTATAATATCCACAAAAACCTTTAGCAGATATATTTTTTGTTATAAATAGAAAAACTGTATTTTTCACGTTTCATGACTTAATGTTTGTCACTTCTTCAGAGTAATTAAACAACCGAATTAAATTATCACAAGTTAAAATAGCATTATCTTAAAAATACATTATTTACTTTCTACTCAATGCTCAATTTATTTGAAACTACCAAGTTCAACCTTGATATTGATACCTATAATATATTGGTTAGTTTTTCTGGATTAGATCCTTTTCTAAGAGAGTTACAGTTTTCATATGACAATTCGTACGTACGTACATCAGTTCGAGTTGCCACACCACATTAGCACAGAGATGTAGTGGTTGATTCAAATCCCGTAGTGCTAGATGTAGTAAAATTCTAAGCTGTAATAAGAAAAATTAGGGTTTGAAGATGTTATTCAAGGAGTATAATCCAGTGAAATAAATTTGGAAAGAGAAAAAAGAAAGGGAATATAGAATTGTTTATCTGTCTTAGGTAACAACGAAAGAGTACTAGTTTTGTTGAGTGGTGGAATTCACACAAACATTTTGCCTCTGCAAACATATTTCAGAGCATTGCATTTTTTTTACAGCCATCTATACCTTTCGTATACTGGAAGGCTTCCACAGTATTTGCCAGTTCATGAACCTTAACTGTTGAAATGGGGCTTCCTGATTGTGATTCACATGCAAACCAAGATCTAAAGTTGAGAAAATTTCAAAATATAGGTAACATCAATCTATTTACTTTCCATCTACATTGAGATTCTGAATAGATTAAAAGCAAAACGTATTCAAGTGATTTAGATAGACAATAATGTTGCGCCTCCAACTTAGCTATTAAAGCAAATACAAAATCATGCTCAAGTAACGAACAATGAAGAATATGACAGTGAATAACAAAAAGTATCCATTGAATTATCCATTTTAAGCAAGGATATGTATTGTATGAGTAATTGATCTGAAATAATGATGAAAAATAGGTATCTTGTGTATGCGCATGATAGTTGATACTATACTGGGCAACTTGGATCACG